CTTTCAACGCTTTTTATCTTGACAGCGTTGTCATCCATCGTTTGGTCGTCGTCGTCGTCCGCGACGCTATCTTCGCCTTTTCCTTTCTTGTCGGAATCACTTTCAACGCTTTTTATCTTGACACCGAGGTTCTTGGTAGCAAGGTTCTTGACAACGACTTTCGACTCCTGGTTGACTTGTTCTCGGTCATTATTGGTTTTCTGTAGATGCCTCTGGTTCTTTTCGTTGCTTATTTTCGCCGGCGATGATTTCATTTGTTTGAAGTCGGGAAGCGATATCAATTGATCGCGATCTGTTTGCCCATATGCCGAGAACTGATTCAGCTGGGTGTGCAACGAAATAACCGAAAAGATCAGGATGGAGGAAAAAAAAAAGAAAAGAACATTTCTGCGGGAAAAGAAAGACGAGGCATTGTTGCTTCCACCCCGCGGTCGGCCTGTGCGTCCTCTCTTTTTCTTCTCCACTTTCTGATGACGTCTTAATCCCCACATTTCTGTAGAGAGCTGAGGAGAATCAGTTACTCGCAAGTAGAAATGGCAACTATTGGTGTTTCAAGGGGATACTGATAATGTTTCTCGAAATCTCGAAAATTTTGGTGGCGAAGAGCTGCTGCGTGCCACCAAAAAATTATGCTACCACTCTGTTCTGTCTTTCCAACCGATGTTGGGCAACTGTCCTGCCGAATGTAAAACTCTTAGCACTCTAGTTCTATCGTACTGAACCGGCCGGTACGGCACCGGTAGTGACGGAGGAATCAGGGGTCATAATTATGACCCCTTGGAGGAACTACTACAAAACATTTCGTTCGGTGTTGTATTCTATGACCAAGTCCGCACGAAGTACAGTACTTTACTCAGTAAGTACACGTAGCATTTAATCTTAGGTTTCGCCCCCTCTAGCTCTGCTTTAAGTTATTCTAGGACTATGTGGTACGTAGCGGTGATTTCGTAAAGTTTGGGCATATTAAAATAATTAACATACTCCGTTCTTATGAATAAAAAATACTTTACTGTAATTCATTGTATTTTGTGTTCTATCAAAGCAGTATATGCCTGCAATGGACCGCACCGATGAAATAATATTACCACGTCCATGTTATTGTCTTCACTTCTCCTCGGTGACGCTGCTGTTTTCTGCAAGACCTGTCGTAGACTTAGACAACCGCATCGCATGGCGAGATACCGACCTCGTCATTGCCGTACACAACAACGACCCACGGGGGGTGGTGCTTCTAGTACTTTGTAGTACCTGGGCGTCCGCTGCCTCCTTTCCGGAAGCGAAACGACATAATCGATGAGAGTCTTTCGATTTGCAGAGATCGCCAATGTATTTCTCCAGTGCGGGAGCGTCTGCCACGACGGGAGCCGACGAGGAACATCCTAGAGCAAAGGCCAACAACCCTGAGGCGTGATTCTGGTTCAAACGTTCAAGGTCTTCATAATCTTTCAGCGATATCTTGGCAAGCAAGCCCCGTGGTCGACGTTTGACCCAATGCCTGGTTTCTTCGTATACCAACCACGGATCTTTCTCTGGGGTGATGATAATACTCCCAAAATCGAAGGCTGCCGAATAGTCGTCTTTGTTGGTAGCGGGATCGTCCTTGCGCTGGTATTGGTAGTGGGTGATAGATCCGGTCCGCTTGGGATAGACAACACCCTCTTTGTTTTCCCATCGCAGGATGCTGGAGGCATTGTACCAGTCGCGCTTCTCTAACAGATCGGAGAGCCTTTGTTCAAAGGCGTCGTAGTTTGGTACCCTCCCGCTTTCGATCCAGCAGGCCTGGCTCGACCGGCGCTCGTCGCTGCCCAGGTGCAGGAAGGACCCGGAGCGGAAGATTCCCCGGAGTCTTCGGATCACGTGCAGGACCAGGGGGAGGAGGTGCCCCCGGTTGACGTCGGTGGCGATGTCACCCCCGGGCGAGGTGCACAACGTGTTGGGGCAGTCCACTAGGACCCCGGCATGGTACCAGCCTAAGGCCTGCGTGGTGACGGAAATCTCCGGGATGAGTTCGATTCCGAGACGGTCCGCGGCCGCAACGATCTGTTCCAAAACACCGTCGGTCAGAGGCTCGGTGGTTGGCTTGGGAACGAGGTGGTACAATTCCTCCAGCGACCCGAGGCGAAGCGCACACCCCAAGCGATTCATCAGTGACAGTTGCAGCGTATTGAGTCCCAGTGGCACCATGATTTGTTCCATCCAATCCTGCAGAACCCTCGGCGGCACAACGTGGTCCACTAGATCGACAATGAGGCCACGAAACGGGACCTGCATATTTCCAAAAACCTCGTGCATCAAGTTTGGCGATCGCGGTGGAGCGAGATCCCGGGGTCTCCTTTCGTTGCGATCCACGTGCGGAGGTTCGATGACCGATCCGGCCAGCGCATCACCTGGTTGGATCTCGGACGTGCCTTCTTCCTGGGGTCCGTCGTCACGCCAGTAGGCAGCAAAGGCCTGGTCTTGGATCGAGTGTACAAAGGAAATAGCTGGAGGCACCAGTTCCAGTGCTTCCTTGGTTTCCGTGAGGCGATGACAGATTTCGTTGGCCCAGTCTTTCCAGAGTTCCATGTAATAGCTCTTGTACTCCCTCTCCGTGCCGATCCTTTCCTGGTTTTGGGGCGGCTTCTTTGCATCGCTGTCCCCAACCGGATGATTCTTCCCCCCTAGGTGTTTTATGCGATCTGCTTCGAAACCCTCGGCACGACCGGCAGGATGCGGCGGTGCCGAATCGGTGTGTTCGTCGCCTGCCAATCCTCCGAGACGGTCGCAGAAAGGCACCGGTGCCGAAATGTCGTCGCCATCGTCCCCCGGAAACAATGCACGGCATCGTGCTCGATAGGCCCGTTCGAAGCCGGCTCGGTTCTCCAGCGTGCTCTTTCCCGGCTCTGCAAAGTCGCCCACCGCCATAGACACCGCCAGCAACCGTCCCAGAACGTTCCGGGGCGCGAACCAAGCGGGGGGCATGGCTTCGGTCGAGATCGTCAATCCCCGAAACGGGGATGGGGACCATCCCGCTCCGGCTTCGTCCGGCCGCAGGTTCGATCGGTGGGCGTCCAGAACGTCCAGGGTTTTCCGATAGACCTCCCATCCGCTGGGGTGGTCCTTGGCCAGCGACGTGGCCATGCTGAGTTCCCTCGGTTGCAGCAGGTACGGGCGAAGCGGAGCCGACGACGCATTCTGGCCCTGGGCCAGCGGCAGTCGGTGGTCCCGGTATTCCTCCAGCGTCGGGAAAGGCTCCCCTCCCGCCGCCGGCGGGGGTTGATCGGCGTCCTCTGCGCCGCCGCCGCGGATCACCACCGGCCGATGCCCCGGGCCGCCGGCAAGGATTTCCTCCAGCGCCGTTTCGAACCGCTGGTAGTCGCGGAGGATCGCTGCCCCCGGATCGCCGTTCCCCCCGGCCCGGTGCGCTTCCGCTTCCCTCCAGCATCCGTGGTCTTTGATTCGGTCCTCGCTTCCGCGGGGGCCCAGGTGCAGGTAGGCCGGGTCGCCGAGGGCCGAGAGAACGGTTCCGAGGACGCGGCGGATCGCGGCCGGGAGCCCGGGGTGGGAAAGGTCGAGGGGGAGGTCGGTCCCTATCATCGGGCGGGCCCGTTCCCGGGAGCACAGGTACTCGGGGCAGTCGGGGAGAAGGGAGGTCCCGGGCAGGACGCCCGCCCACGAGGCAGCGAAAAAGGGGAGGGAGACCCCGGGGACGATCGCCATGCCCCCCAGGGACCTCGCGCGCTCCGCCAGGAGGCCCAGGTCCCCCGGCGAGAGCCGCGGCCCGGCACCGCCGGTGGCCCCCTCGAGGCGGAAGGCAAACCGCTGGTCGCCGCTCAGGGACAGGTGGAGGGCGTTGAAGCCCATGCGGTGGACGCTCTCCAGGAAGGAGAGGAGCCAGTCGACCGGGAACTCGTGCCGGGCGGCGTCCACCGTGACGCCCAGCAGAAACGGGAGCTCGTGTGTTCCGCTCGCCTTCGTTGCGTTTCTGGCCGGACCGGGGGGGGAATTGGAACCGGTCGCCGGATCCGCTGTGTGCGTCGCCGCGCGCAACGGGAGGTCGATGGCCAACAGCAGGAAGCAGCACCAGCCGCAACCGCAAAGCCAGGTTTTCACTCGCCGAAGGATCGCCATCGTGCTGCCGGCGGTTGTGGAGTGGTGCTGTCGCATTGGCATTGGGATTGGGATTCTCTGCTGCGAACGCAATCCGGTGACTGGCTCGCACCCACCATGCCCTCCTTGGCGGTGCTGTGCTCTCTCGCTCTATTCCTCTTTGGAGATCAAGGTTTGGTCGATTGGACTGTCTCGTTCCAGGAAAATGGAGTGACAGCTGGTTCGAATAGTACCTACGAGTATGTACTCGTACTCGTTTTTGAGGGAAGAAAGTTTTCGTTTCGAGTAAGTTGCGACTGCGATTTTGCGATCCTTTGCTACCGGTGCGTTCTTTCGGTACTGGTACGTACGTGCGACCGGACGAATGCTACCGTACGGTACGATATTGAATGATTTGATACGGTGAGATGTTGGCTGCATTAGCTAGCTCTCTTGCAGGCGTGATGTTCGTTTATTGGCGCGAAATCTCGAAATCATCTCTATCCCGCGGGACTCGACCGAATCGAACGAGCTGAGGAAAGGTCATTTTCTCCTCTCCACCGTAGAGTCTACGGGTACGAGTAGTGGAATGTATGTACGGTACGAGCATTGCTCTCTCAGTACGATTACGTAGTACGAGCACAAAACACAAAACAACGTTCTCATTGGCAAAAACTGGAAAGAAAAACCCCGCGTACGAGTTTGGTTTGGATTCCTAAAACCCAGCAACTTTTCTTCCCATCCACTGCCGCTATTCAACTTTGATCGATCGATCCAGCGCTGGACCAATCTCGTTCCAGTCCATTTCCATCCGTTCTTTTCGTTCCATTCTACCACGATGCCACCATCCTCTTCCATGTCCTGCCCCTACAACGGCTGGGTGGGAACCCTGGCGACCTTTGCCGCCGGGGGCTTGGCCGCCGCCGCTTATTTCCATCACAAATTGCTGGCCTCCAAGGCCACCGACTTTCCCGCCACGGTGGGGACGAAAACGTCCTCCGAACCAACCCCGATCGACTACCCCGAGTACGACTACAAAAACGACCCCAAGGGATCCTTCACCAAAATCTGCGACCTGCTGATCGAGGAAATCCTGCAGGACCTCCCGGCCAACTACGAGCTACCCAAGCGGGAGACCGAGTGGCTCCGCAAGATGCTGGAGCACACGGTCAAGGGCGGAAAGATGAACCGCGGGCTCATGGTCGTCGAGAGCGGGGTCGCCATCATTGGTGAATCCAAGATCACCAACGAAAAACTCTGCCAGCTGGCCGTGCTCGGGTGGGCCATCGAGTGGCTCCAGGCCTGGCTGCTGGTGGCAGACGACATTATGGATTCCTCCGTCACCCGCCGGGGGCAGCCCTGCTGGTACAAGACGCTCGGGGACGCCTGGTACATTGCCATCAACGACGCCGTCACCATCGAGGCCTTTTGCTTCAAGATCCTCAAGCGACACTTTGGCCACGACGGGGACTTGCAGCTCAAGCTGGTGGACCTCATGATGGAAACCACCCTGCAGACGGAGCTCGGTCAGCTGAGCGACACGCTCTGCGACGTCCTCACCCTCAAGGACCTCACACCGGAGCGGTGGGGACTCATCGTCAAGTACAAGACCTCCTTTTACAGCTTTTACCTCAGCGTGGCCTTTGCCATGACGCTGGCGGGAGTCAGGGACCAGGCCGCCTACGACGCGGCCCGGGACATTCTCATCGAGATGGGCGTCTATTTCCAGGCCCAGGACGACTTTCTCGATTGCTACGCCACCCCGGAAGTCCTCGGAAAGATCGGGACGGACATTGCCGACAAGAAGTGCGGGTGGCTCTTCACCAAGGCCTACCACGAGCTGGCCAGCGACGAGCAAAAGGCCTTCCTCGACGAGCACTACGGAAAGTGCGAGGTCGGCTCGCCGGAAGAACTCAAGATCAAGGAGCTCTACACCGAGCTGGGTCTCAAGGAGACCTACGCGACCTACGAGCAAAACTCGTACGACAAGATCATGGCCATGAAGAACAGCGCGGCCGGAGAAACGCTAAAGGCAGCCGGGGTCCCGTGGACGGTCTTTGAGAAGTTCCTGGCCAAGGTCTACAAGCGATCCCATTAGACACCTAGCGCAGCAATCTATAGGTTGTATGCACGGTATTGATAGTCGAGTGCAGCAGTACTGTTGTGGCACAGTGCCGAAATCGAGTCGGTTGGAAGCACAGAAATGATATCCAACAAAGCACAGAACAAACAAAACTGGATCGTAATTTGTTCGAGTAAATTAAATAAACAAAAGGTAAACCCATGCATAGAAATGAGCCCCACCATCGTCTTGTGCCGGAGGTACACAAAAATTGTTTAGTGACCGACCGTATCCTCCGGGGCGTCGTTTCATGCGTGTGTTTCTCGTATTGTGTTTCGAGTAGCTACTGTTTGTCATTGAGAAGCACAACGACTGAATTTATCGTTTAGGCGGGTTACTATAATATTCTATTCTATGGCAAGAACGGCATCGTGTTTTGGTCTAGCTAGCGTGTGCGATGCCGATGGATTGGTTTGTGGCCCGGCTCGGTGCAACGGTCGGTTCGACTCGTTGCGTTTCCTCCGATTTCGGCGTCCCCCTTCACTCCGAGGCGTTGAGCCGGATGGGGCCCTCGTCGTCCACGATCTTCACCGCCGAGGTGATCCCGCGCATCGCCTGGAGGCAGACCAGCGCGGACCAGACGTTGAAGAGGTTGTCCGATTGGCCCGTGGACTGCAGGGCCAGGAAACAGGCCGATCCCGCGACTCCGCTGACGACCATGCTCTTGGCCTGGTAGGGGAACTCCGAGGCCCCCTGGAGGACCCCGTCCGCCGCAAAGACCAGCGAGTTCAGGGGCTGGGACACCACCAGCAGGGAGGCGATTTCCAGCAGCGCGGCCTGGGTTCCCCGATCCGACGTAAAGCCATCCACCAAAACATCGGTCGAGTAAAAGCCAACGTACAGAGCCCCCGCCAGCAAAAATCCGAGGACCGAGCTGTACGCAAACACCGTCCTGGAAATGTCCCGGGCGGCGGGAGCGTCGCCTCGGCCGAGGGCGTCGGCCACGAGGCCCTGGGACGCGGCCGCGAGGGCGTCGGAAATGTACGAGCACAGCATCCACAGCTGGATCGCGATCTGGTGGGCAGAGATAAAGGCCGCCCCCCCGGCGCTCCCGCCGGAGGTGGTGTCCCCCGTTCGGGTGGTCAGCGCCGCGGCGGTGGTCAGAAAGAGCTGCAGGACCAGGGACCGCACAAAGACGGCCGAAGAGGCGACGATCAGTGGCTTGACCTCTTCCCAGGGTGGAATGGACAGGGACGGTGCCACCACCAGCGTCGTGGCTTGTTCGGCGGCTTCGGTGGGTTCCTTTCTTCCCAGTTCTCCGTCGGCGGACGGAATTTTTCCCGCCAGAACCAACAAAAACAGCAGGGCGGAGATCCACTCCGCCGTGGTGGTGGCAATCGCGGCTCCCGTTGGCCCGAGGCCGCCGACGGCGATGAGGAGCACGTCCAGGCCGAAATTCACGGCGTTTGCCAGAAAGAGCACAAAGATGGGGGTCTTTGTGTCGAGGTACCCACGAAGAATCCCGGTCGAGGCCGAGATGCAAAACACGGCCGGAGCGGCCAGGGACCGGATCGTCAAAAAACTCGAGGCAAAGGCGTTGTCCTCGCCGGCACCCATCAGATTCAGCAAGGGACCCTGCAAGAGGATCAGAGACACCGCGAGAACGCTGCCTAGTCCAAAGGCGAGCGACAAGGCCTGGCCTCCCACCGCGAGGGCTCCCGCTTCGTCCTTGGAGGCCCGCCTGGATGCCACGAGGGGGGTCGTCGCGGTGCACAAGAAATTAAACACGTAAAAGGCAAAGGTGAGGAGGGCCGAGGCGGATCCCATCCCCGCCAACTCGTAGGGAGACTCGGCAAAGCGTCCGACAAAGGCCGTGTCAGCAAGCGTCAGCAGCGGGTCGATCAGTAGGGCTCCGAGTGCCGGGACCGCCAGTCCCAGTATTTTTTGGCCCGTGTCTTCCTCGTTAGTCTTGCGTGGATCCTCGTTTTCGGAGGTGCTGCTTGCGTGCAATGCCTGAATGCCGTTGCGGTTGGTTGCGCCGTCGTTCGACGCTTTCGTGGAGAATCGGTTGGCGTCGGTTCCTGACGGGACCAGGCTTGCGCAGTGGGAATTGTCGGCTCTGCTGGTGCGCGCGATACGTTTCGTATCGGCACGATAAGTCGTTGCGATGGAAAAGTTTGGGGAGAATCCATGCGAGAAACTTGGCTTGTTTGCCAAGAGGACCAAAACCGCAAACATCACGGCATTGGCGCATCTCGTTGTCGAAGCTAAACTATTCCTGTAGCCATTGTCTTTGATTCTCCTATTGTTCAGGTTCAGATTCTGCTTCGAGGCACTCATTATAATTCACAGATACGTGCCACTACGACACTGAAGGCACTCCTGATCTAATTATCCAGCCCAGAATGGTTAACAGTCGATCGAATGATACGTGTATTCTATGAAAGTGCCTCACATCTTTTCCTATTTGTTTTTGTACCTTACTGAAGTACGTACGTATGATTCATTCAAAGCAAACATTTTTTCTTTCTCGCTCCCTCTCAAATTCATAGCCGTGAGCCGTGACGTGTTGTGATTACGTACTCGTACTCATAGTTCTTACGAATGGTACCGGTAGAAATTGGAAAAATAGGAAAAAGTAGCTTTGTTTGTTACCTGTACCGGATGAGAGGAGACAGTACTAAACTAGTGCTACTTGTAGTAGTAAGTACATCATTATCTTCTATCGCATTGGTGATTAGAAGGCATTCTAAATCAATATCGATAAAATCGATAAAATTCCATCAACACAACAAGAATCAGAACGAATCTGAATGATTGATGGACTCTTCAGAGATAAATTACAATGAAAAAAGTCAGAATTAGAACTATTATTACTAGTACCTAGTATTACTGTATATTAGTCCTACAAGCAGTTTGGCACAGAGGCACACTGAAGAATGGCACTTCACATGAGGAGGAGGAATTACTAGTAGTGCATTGACGATGCATGGAGTACTGCTCTACTAGCTATTGCTTCCAGCACTAGTGTGGCGGACCACCACCTCAGTTGCTGCTGTCCATTATTACTTGAGAAGTGCCGAATTCGAATGTCTTTGCCAATCATTGCATATTTTGATCGAAGAGTCCTCTTGAGGTGCACCGCAAGAAATGAATGACAATGAAAAGGCTCTCATTGAATCTCTGCTCTATTCCCAAGGGATTGTTCTCTGACTCGTCGGGGGGAAGTAAGTTGACTTGAGCGATGCCCATTGTTGTTACATTGTTGTTACACTGTTGTTACATTGTTGTTACATTGTTGCAACCGGACAACTCCTTCCATCATTCACACATTCCGCCTTCCATCGGGACGGCGTTGGGTATGTACCCATAATCCGTCAACTGAAAGGCCAAAACAGTGATTCCCACCAGAACGGCCGCGAAACTCATAGCTGCGGCAACGCGCCCTGCAACCGTCTTTGGACGCGAGGCACCATCCTCCGAAGCTACCAAATCCACCACCGAGGCAGCACAGGTGGCCACCACACCCAGATAACTGATGCCTTCGATGGCTCCCACGATTCCAAAAGGACCGGCTGGCAGACCGCATCCTGTGGTTTTTAGGACGAACTCAGACCGCAGGACCACGATCGACGCAGCCGTTCCCAAAATTCCCGCAGCGTCCCACAAACCCGGGGTGCCGTCGTCCCGGTCCGCCGCATCGTCGGTGGTGGCAACGTCCTCGTCGGCGTCATTGACAACTCCATACAGACCAATTGATGATTTGGATCGCGACGGAGGCGAGGAAAATGAATTCACGCTCTTTGTGTCAATGGAATCGAAAGATGCGGGAGACGTCCTCGTTGAACTTGATGAGATTTGAAACGAGATTGTCGAACGGATGGAGAACAAAGAAAGAAAAAGGACGAATCCGAAGGAGGACAGTGACAACCGAACGCTTCTCATAACCATATTGGGTTGTTGCGATTCAATCCCTAATGATGACTTGTTTCTCGTTGTCTTCGTAGAGGCGTATTACAATGGCTAAGACGTTGCGTTCTCCACTCCGGTAAATGTTCATATTTTTTGTTCTGTTGTCCGATGTTGAAGGTTTTTTGCTTCGTTTTCCCGTCAGATAAGAGGTAGAAGTTCTTGGTACGGTACCTGGTACCCCACGGTACAAGTACTACGGTAGGCCATCCATATCTTGGATCTTCGACCAAATCGATTAGAATATCATCAATACAGTATTCCTGCGAAGTATACTTGGCTCCTTCTATTCGCATAAATCAGACTGCTGTCGGTTAGACTTACTATGGATGATGGGTTGATGAGCTGAGGTAAGTCACTTGTTGCTCAAAACCTGCGAAGTATACGTGGCTCCATAGTCGCATACTGCGGTGTGTAATAAAGAGTGAGTTTATTCACTATCTATTCGTGATTTAGCCTCACAATTCCGGCAATTTTCTCAAAACTTCGTAGTAAAAAATAAGCCAAACCTCCAAAACCATTCATCTTTTGAAGAAAAGAAATCAATCCGTTCAAAATGGAAGTTTCGTTGACCAAAAACTGCATTTCTCTATCCGTATCGAAAACGGCACGTTAAAGGTTCTTTTCAAAGTCACGAAGCAAAAAAGCAACAAAAGATGCCACTTTGGGCATCGGAAACAAGAATTGGACACATCCGAAACGCATCGTCTGCCGAAGGAACGGACGACGGCGGAATCGGCACGCAAGACACGCAACAACCAATAGAACTTCCTGATCCGGCAGAGGATGCTACTCGCATGATGGCATTGAAAAAGTTGCGTCATAAATTGGTCACACTTTGTTCCGAGCACGGAGATCGAACAAAGCCTCCAACCCTGGCTTTCGAACGTTGGCTTGGGCGGGCAGCTTTGCGACGTAAACCGGGGGACGACCCAATCATTCCCTCCGATCTCTATGGCAACGATGGAATGCTAGCGCTGGACAAGGCCTTGACTAGGGATCTCTCCAGAACTCTTCCGTCATGGGAGGCCTCGAGTATTGTGGCGAAGGAGATGACGAAGGAAGCTTCGAAGCAGATCAGAGCTATGGAGGTTTTTGGAAGGGACGGGGCAAACGAAGATTTGGAAACGATTTGCAAGAAGATAGAGAACGAAAGTCGTGTGGTCAAAAAGGCCACGAAACGCATGAAGAAAGCTCTTGAAAGCCAAGACGACCAAAGCGATGAAGGCCAGGTGTCGCTGCGGGAAGCTCTTGTTTCGCTGCAAAGAGCTGCTTCTTCGTTGAATGATTCTGCTACCAACGCACAACGAGCAATTGTATTCAAGAGTAATCCAGATGGGGACGGCAATATCGTATTCAATGGAAAGCGAAGAGAGGGAATTTACGACGTCATGAGGTGTGGACCCGGTGGAAAACCAAGGAGACCATATCTAACTGTGTCATCTCTCCATTTGTCAAAACTATTGCGATTGTGGAAAATTCATAATAAAACTAGTACCGATGCTACCGTTGATTGCAATGATAAATTGCATGAAGCAGAGGAGGAGGACCCAATCAAAGCAATGAATGCTCTCCCTGATGACGAAAGAATCGTGTTCCAAAAAAGTCTGTACTGTTGCCTTGCTCGATACGAAGGACTGAAAGGAGCGGGTTATCAGTGTGCGGTGCCAGGTATCGCGTTCGATGCCGCGGTGAAAATGGGCTTGGGGACCACAATCGAATGCTTTGCAAGTCCCCTCAATTGCCGTTACGAACGATTCTGTTCTGCTTTTCCGGACATAGAAACGCGATTCGGCTCGTTGGGATCCTTTTTTGACGACGATGCCTTTGATCCTTTTGAGGGGTCATTCGAAGCAAACCCTCCGTTCGTTCCTGAAACAATGATTGCGATGGGAACAAAACTTGAACGCTTGTTGAGCGATCAGAATCGCGGGCCTCTTTCATTTTTGGTTATCGTACCAAATTGGGGCGCAGGTATTGAGTTTGTAAAGAACCTGTTATCTTCTGCATTTGTACGGGCTTCGAGTTGCATTAAAGCATCTGACCATGCATTCTACGATGGTGCTCAGCATACAAAGCCACTATTTGCAAAGAATCGTAAGCAAGCTGCAGATCCTGACCTTAGGCCTTCGTCATGGGACACAGCTGTTATATTGTTACAAAACGATTTCGGGGCATCAAAATGGAATGTGGATAACGCGAAACTAGAAGAATCCTTTTGCAGCGCTCTAAGAGCATCTGTGAAAAATCTTCCAAAGAAGTTTGCCACATTGAGTGCCTGGGAACGTAGGGGAGTAGGCCAGGGTGGGTCAAGAAAGAGACAGCACCACCAGCACGGAACATCCGATAGAGTAAGAAGAATCAAAACAAGCGACCCAATGCGGTAGATGAAAATCAACAGAATGACAGATAACAGGCAAGAATACCATTTAGTGGTGATGCTACCAATTGAGATGGATTAAACGTTTATGTGTACAAAAGTACAAATGATGGACAACATTTTGGCCCTAAAACTTCATGTACCCTTTGATAGTTGCATAAGGTAGTTGAACCCATGCAATCCAGCTTGCGCACTTGAGATAAACTAATGCAATTCACATCCAAAAAAGTAGATTGGTTGCTGATACAGAGTATGCTGATATGAGTTGCTGATAGTAGTAAAGAGTATACTGAGCTGCTGAGAGCATGAAGGAGTCACTGATATGGCATCCCCCGATACTGAGGACGCTGGTGCTGGATACTGAGGACTCTGGATAGCTAGTAGGGGGGGGGCAGGAAACTGGTGGTGGTGCTTTAGTAGTGATAGGTTTAAGCAGTAGTAGTGATCAGTGTCAATCCTTTTTACTAGCATCCCTCTATTACTAGAACATAAATCAGGTACTTAGCATGCCTGTACTACAGGCGTGCTAAGTCTGATGTGGAATCCTAGTAGGATTCCACATCAGACTTCATAATGCATATCTCTTGCTTATTGCACACAGTAGTAGTGTGACCACTGGTACATTGTAGTGGTGTTCTTGTCACTGATTATCACAATGGCAGGTCATTCCCACCATATAAATTGAATCTATGACAACATACTACTCTACTAGTATTTATTTGGGTACAAGGGAATAAGAATGATGGGTCTTGATTTGCTGTGGTACGCTAGTACATGTGCTGAATTTGGAATGTGGAAATTTATTTAACCCCTGCCTTTCTAATTGCTGGTGGTTCTCACTAATACTAGTACTAATTTTTGGTGGAATTTGGGATTAGAAATTTCAAATCAAGGATTCCAAAATGTCATGTGAGTGCATACTTCTTTCTTTGTAGTAGTGAGCCAACAGCCACTACCAAGAATCTTTGATTCTAGCGTGATGACCAAAGCACTGAATTTCTTGTTGTGCCCAGCTGGTGATGTGTCAAGCAACAGGTCCAAGTGTGGTAGGAAGGCAAGGGACCTTGCAGTTCTTCTTGAAACAAGCAGAAGTATTCCATACAAGTAAAGAGGAGAGCTAAGGACCTTATTGGCAGCAATCAATATTCCAGTGGTGACCAGCTTGCACAATCAAGAGATACAGTTGTACATTGAAGCCTTTCCTAAACAAAGAAGCAAACATTTTGCTCTGTCTCCTCCTCCTATTGATAACAATGGTGTGTTTGAGCCAATGTATGAAAAGGTACAGGTTGATGAGAAACTGTTCTTCATGAAGGAAGTAACAAGCAACACATATCTACTTGATGAAGAGCTTGAACCAGTTGACAAGAAACCTTCAAGAAAGCAGCACATCAAGAAGGTGATATTTCTACGCACAACAGCAAGGCCCAGATTTGATACTAGTAGGAATACTTGGTTTGATGGAAAGCTTGGTATTTGGCCGCCTCTTGTGGAATACAGACCAGCACAGAGATCCTCCATAAATTCCCCCAGAGATAAAATTGAACCCCACCCTATTTCATGATAGAGAAGGTTCTACCAGCCATTTACAAGAAGTTCCCCAGAGGTAATGGTGTTCAGAGTTCTATCATCCAGGAAGACAATGCAAAGCCTCATACACTTAACAACAGAGCAGCTGTACTAGCAGCTGCAGCTCATGATGACAACAACTGGAATATTGTTGTGAAGCCCCAACCACCAAAAAGTCCCAACTTCAATGTTCTTGATTTGGAAGTTTTAAATTATATTCAGAGCATTCAGCACAAGAAGCGGTCTTCTAATATGGACATATTCTTGATTGCCAATGTGATTGCTGCATTTGAAGAATCCAAAAATGAGATTCTAAATAGTGTTTATTTGTCACTACAGTGTGCAATGCAGGAGTCACTTGGTGTTGGTGGAGACAACACTTACAAGATTCAACACTTGTATATTTTGGTAAGATTCAACACTTGTATATTTTGGTATTCCGTACCTGTCTGTACCACCATTTTGTTAGGGAAAATAACACGGTATGAAAAATTCGTAACCCGACTCACTACCTTCATTTTATATTATATTTTTTTTTATTTTTTCTGTACCCTGTCACTGGAAATAGTAATCTCAATAACAAATATTCTGCTTGCTTGTTGTTTATATTTTTTGCTCATTTTTTTTTTAATTCCAGGGTGTAGTGACTGGAATAAATTGTTTGGTTTGAAATCTTGAATGTGTCGTGACTGGAATAAATTGTTCAGTTCGAAATCTTGAGGGTGTGGTGACTAGATTAAAAAATTTTGTTTCGAAATTCTTGAGGTGCAGCATGACTGGAATAATATTTTTGTTTTTAATTTTCAAAGTTCATACGTACAGGAATTAAGTTGATTCAGTTTTCGAAATCTTAAGTTGCCCACTGGAATAAATAGTTCCCGTTCAGATTCTGAAGGGTCGGTTTTTTATTTTCCGTAATTAAAATCAAAGAATCCAATGCCCAACCAATGTGATTCTTATATATGTGTATATATATATATATATATATATATATATGTATATGTATGGATTATGTTAACTTCACTACATATTACTGCTAACAGTACTAACGAAAATCGTTACCACCACACATTCTAGACCCCTTCAAAAGGAAGGTTGCCCTTTCGATACTGCTCCAACTTTTCTCAAATAGAAGGACAAATGAAATCATCACAATCATCATCATCATCATCATCATCATCCAATACACATCCCTTGCTGCCATTAGGATTTCCCACTGATATGCCTGCTTCAAGTAGAAACCTTTCCTTGAGTTTATTTTCAAAGTCCTTTCCCGTTTCTGGGCATTTGCGTAGCAATTCAACCTTTTGGCACAAATAGCTATATAGTTTTCTTCCTTGCTTGTGCCACCCTTCCTTTTTCCCACTTGATGGATCACAATATCTTTTTGCTGTAATTTTTGGAATGTCCTTTCCTAGCACCTTTATGTCAATATTGTTCTGCCAAAGATGAAATTCATTGTGAAGGAATAGTAGAGTGAAAGCCTCATCTGTCACCGTGAATATTTCACTAATCAAATTCTCTGCCTGCCTTTTCTTGAAGTCGGTTCTGCCTGGGCTGACGGATGCCATTATTCGGGTCACAAAATAATAAAACTCCAGTGCCACAAATCCATCATCACAAAGCCGCCTGTACCCACTGGGAATGCTCCAACCTCCCGGGCCCACATCTACTGTACCATCATCATTATCTTTAACCAGTGCAACTGTCCGTGGAAAACCATCTGGTACAAGACCACCCTTGGTGTAATCAGCTATAAATAGGTTTAGGAAAAGCCAAGCA